AATGGTAGAAGAGCCTTTTTTTTAAAATACTATTTTCGTCCATTTATGTAGATTGATTTTCATTATTTTCTTGACCTTATAACATAGTCATGTTTCTTTATTGAAAATATTTTATTTTATTTGTTTACTATACTTTTATTTAATTTTGCTTAGTTATAATCAATTTTCTCCACTTAATTTTGAAATTGTACAAATATAAATAAGGGTAAACCGGGAAAGTTTTTGGTAAAAAAATCTTTTTCAATAACATTAAATAAGATTTCTTAATTTGTGTGAAAAACAAAATCAGTCTATATAAAAGGGACTGATGAAATAGTTTATTTATTTTACATTTACTTAGGCCCTTGTTTGGTGGCCCATTTTGTGAAAAAAATTTATTTTGAATAGTGAATTTTGAGAGAATGTGTGGTTAAAAAGTAGTGAAAGTTTTGAGTTATGTGTAGAATATTTTATTGTATAAATATGTGGTTAAAAATGAGTATATAGGAAAAAAGTTTTGAAAGTATGAAAGACAAACGTGAATTTATTAAAGAAAGTTTTTTTTTTTTTTTAACATATAAAAATACAAAATGAAGAGATCTTTTCACTTTGACTAAGCCCCAGTTTGGGCATCCTTCTCCCAAATTATAATTAAGAATCCGATCGCTATACAGTCAATGGGCCCCACTATGGCAAATGTTTTACTCGCAGTCAATTGAAAATTTTGAGGGAAAGACCGTGGTGCTCCAAACTCGTTGCATTCAATTTTCCCATTTTCACATAAGCAAAAAGGTAGCACATATGAGAGAAAGGGTATGACACATTAAATCAACCAAAAGAAATAATAATATTTTCCCTCAATTAAGCACAAGATGCCAAATATATGCAAGTTTAAACAAGTGGATAATCATCACTTTATAGTAAAAATATTAATTAGAGCATGAGTGATGAAATGACATAAGCAAAATTGTTTAGATAAAATTTAGATAAATTTCACCAATTATGCACGTAGAAAATGACTGTTTTTCAAATATTGTGGCTGGATCAAGTTCAAGCATACTGTTACAATGTTCACATTTTTTTAAAATTAAAATGTAGAATTAATGGCGCCCAATCAGGCACTAAAACAAGAAATATTACAATTTCATCTAAAACGTGGTCACTATCTAATATATTCATTTAAGCTTGTACTACATGATCCCATCTTAGCCTTGTTTGATTTTCATTTTTTTGAAATATATTTTATCATTCTTCTTTTCAACTACACATTTTTCAATAAAATAATATTACATATGTTACAGCTCAACAATCAGCCGA